AACCTTCCTTCCGAGGAGTGGCTGGTGGGTTTGAACCGCCAGCCTTCTGGTGAGCAGTCAAGTGCTTTAGCCACTATGCTACCAGAGCTCCCTGTTTTAATATATGTATATAAAAGTTTTCAAAATGCGAGTGTATTTCTGTAGACTTGAAAAATGTATATTCTGCTTTGCACAAAATTCAAAGCATGGCATTTTGCAAATGGTAGCATCACATGAAAATATTGTGGGAGTAACACAGTATATTTCTTCAGGCTGCCATCCTGAGTCATAATCCCAAATATACAGTAGCCTGCAGGACATATCACACACGTCAAAATTCAACATTTCAAAATCAAACTCATTCTTGCCACCTCCATCTCTACGCTCCCACTGATATTTTCAATTTCAGTTAATGACTTCAGCTACCACTGACTGCCAAACCTAGAAACCTTGTTGTCATTGTGGACTTCTTGTCTACTTTTCCTGTTCATTTCTGCCCATTGTACCATTGTAATGTCTTGCACACCTGTCCTTTCCTTTCCAGTCACATCTCATGTTCTGAATCTGGCCTCCATCAGCTTTCCTGGGACGTTAATATAACTTCTGTGAAGCTTAAGTTTATGTATCCATTTGGTTAGGCTATGGTGCCCAATTGTTTAAAAACTAGTCTAAAACTGTTATGAAGTAATTAAGTGTCATTAAATCAGTTGGCCTTAAGTAAAGCAGAACCTCTCTATAATGTGGGTAGCTCTCTTCCAATGAGCTGAAGGCCTTAGAGCTATAAGGGAGTTTTTTATATTCTGCTTCCAGACTGTAATTTGGCATTTTTCCAGAACTATCTTATGCTTCATTCTTCCCCTCACCTGACCTACAAGTTTTTATGCCCAAGTCTGCAGGCATCTCCAGGCTGTTGTCTGATCCACATATCAATAGATCATACTGGTTCTGTTCCTCTAGACAACCCTGACTTAGACACTTTGAACTTTTCTTTCCTTTCTAATTTACCATATACAATGCTACCAGAGTTATCTTTGTAAAATATAAACATCATGCTAACTTTTTATTCATATACCTTCAGCAACCCCTCTTTCTCACAGCTTAAAGTCCAAACGCCATGGCATATGTTCTAGTTTCATCTTCACTTGCCACATTTTACTCATGCCTTAGCTTCCCACGACTTTGTGATTCCAAAAACAGGCCAAGTGTTCTCTAGCCTTTGGCTCATGCTATTACCTTTTGCAAACACCTTTCCCTCTTTTTATTCTTGTCATATCCTACTTCTAGGCTCAACTTGGCAATTTTCCTGCTCTCTGAAGCCTTTTGTGCTTTGTATTTTCTTATAGCTTTATCATGGTATAATTTTTTTTTCATACAGTTTTACATACTCTGAACCACATGAAAACTAGAATCAAACTCTCCTTTCAGCTGACAGCTAGTATCAGCAATAACAAACAACAACAACAACAACAAACAACCACTCCTGTCAAGTTAATTCCATGTGTCTGTTACAGAGCAGGCCGGCTCTACAGGGTTTTCTTGGCTATAATCTTATGGAAGCAGACCACCAGGACTTTCTCTCACAGTGCCGCTGTGAGGTTCAAAGTGCCAGCCATTAGATTAGTAGTTGAGCGCAAATCATTTGTGTCACTCAGGTACCTGGCAGTTAGGATAATGAATCATGTGAAAGAAAAAAAAAAAAAAAAAACAAACTCATTCTAAATGAGTTGATTCTGACTCATAGTGACCCCCATTAGGTTTCTAAGGCTGTAAATCCTCATGTAAGCAGACTGCCTCATCTTTCTTCCACAGAGCAGCTAGTGAGTTCAAATCACTGACCTTTTGGTTAGCAGCCAAATGTCTTAACCTCTACCACCTTGGCTCCTTAGTGAATCACCTAAAGGTATGTGAAAAATCTTTACTGTTGAAGTTGAATAGTATGATATTGAACAATTAAAACTAAATGTCAATTTAAGCTTGTAAATTGAATGATGCATGATATCTTTAAAAACAAACAAACAGGAGAAAAAAAAAAAAGGGACCAGGTTTTCTGGTCTGACAGAACCTAATGGAATCATTGAGAATATGGCCTCTAGCTGTCCTTCAGGTCTGAAACTGAACCCACACCTATGGCTTCCAGCCAAACAAAAGACAGGCATGTGAGGTGCACATTTACACTAGGGAGATACACTCTTTGGAGAGAATAATTATGGGAGAATTGAAGGGCTGTGTATGCACAGTGTCATAGCTCAGGGGGCAGGAGTGTACGGAGGGAAGGACACAGGGAAGAGGTAACTATGGGGAGGAAATGGGAGAGGAGCTGTTGCACTGTGGTAAATTGTAGTCAATGTCATGATACAAAGTGTATGTGAACTTCTGTATGGAAAGTGAACTTGCTCTGTAAACTTTCACCCAAATCACAATTAAAAAAAAGAAAGAAAGAAAAACAAACAAACCCCAAAAAACCCTTATAGGGTTTCCAAGTCTGTAAATTTTTTTAGTAGCAAAATGCCTCATTTTTCTCCCATGGAGCAGCTGGTGGGTTCAAACCATTGACCTTTTGGTTAGCAGCCAAATGCTTTAAACACTGTGCTACCAGAGCTCCTTATGCTAACTTCAAGATAGTAAATACCTCCGAGGAAAATAAAGTATGTCTGTGGGAAACCAAGAGCAGTATCTGTTGCATTTAGAGAACTAAACAAATATGGTAAAACATTAATATGTGTTGCGTCTGTATGGTGGTTATATGTATGCCTATTATGTAATTTTTTGTACCTTTCTGAGACAAAAATATTTCTTATTTTACATTTTAAAATGTGAAAACAAAAATTTAAATGGGGCGTTCTAGTAGAGTTTATCATCCTGAACATTCATTAACTGTAAAAGTCTATGGTTTTATAACAAATCAGGGAAGTGTGAATTTATCAAAGATTTCCTTCATTTATATAGTATTTGCAAAAGAGTTCTTTTAACTTGAGATCTAGTCTATTACATTCGAAGTATGATTTCATTCTCAAGATTTTCATTCAAATGTGACTTTTCAGAAATTTATGTACAAGTGCTTCTTATTTATAGACTATCTCATTACCTGTCATTTGCATTTATGACTATATTAAAAAATCTAGTATGTATTTCATATGTCATTGACATGTGCCAGGCAGTAATGAACACCGAGATGTGAGGTGAAAGCAGTGCTGGCTGCAATAGTTAAGCTTATGCATCAACTAGGATGAGCCATGATTTCCAGTGATTTGGTAGTTATGTAATGAGGCAATTAGGCAGTTATATAATGATGTGGTCATCCTCTATTTTTGCATAACATCAATTTTCGCATAGCAACCTGGTCTTTGAAAGCTACCCATATTAATAATGAAGAGTGGGTGCATTTAATAAAGTAAATTTTACTTTATCAGAAAATGATTCATGTATGTCATGTCCTTAATGTGCTCAAGGAAGCTATCATATTAAATGTGAAACTTCCAAAGGAGGCGCATATTCCTGTGAACTATTTTGAAGAAATACTGGTTTTAACAATTACTTCTAATAGCTTATGATATTTTAATGTTAAAGTTCAAGGCCTATAATTTTGTACAAATATTGTCCCTAAATTTATTTGGCCAGGGATCTCTTAATTGTAGCATTTCATGAGACTTGCATATTGGAAAGATACTTTAGAAGGTGTTACATTAGTGGATAAAACCATTATTTTGGCCACGTATATCCCTGGATGGTGCAAACAGGTTAATACATTTGGCTGGTAAGTGAGAGGTGAGAGGTTCGAGTCCACCTAGAGACACCTGTGAGAAAAGCCGGGCAATCCACAGGAAGTCCCCAACTTATGATGTGCTTCTGTTTGGATGATTCTTCTGGTATAAGTCAAATACCTTTTTTTAAAAAAACCAATTTGATTATTATTGCTTTTTATTATCAGTATCTTTATAAATCTTAGGAGCGCTGGTGGTGCAGTGGTTAAGGCATTCTCTGCTAAGCAAAATGTTGGCTGTGTGAACCACCAGAGCAGCTCTGCAGGAGAAAGATGAGGCAGTCTATTTCTGTGAAAGTTTACAGCCTTGGAAACCTTATGGGGCAGTTCTACTGTAAACTTTCACCCAAATCACAATTAAAAAAAAAAAAAAAAACCAAACTCATTCTAAATGAGTTGTCACTATGAGTCAGAATTGACTTGAGGGCAGCAGGTGGTGGATAAATCTTATCAGTGGAATGACTTCTTTTGCTAGACATGTCGTTAGGTGTGCAGGTATTATAGGCAGAGAAATGTAAGCATCTTGGCTTCAAATTAATGTGCTTCTCATGGTACGAAACATTGAATGGAATAAGCTAGAGGCCTGGTCTACAAGGATGTCAATGGCAATATCATAACAATGAAGTTGGAGTTGTAATGGCTGTTGGGCGTGCACAAGGTTCAATTGTTATATGTTGTTAGAGATGAACACTGCCCAATTATCTATTGTGACTCTTGCCACTGACCTTGACTCTGACTTCATTGTAGACCCAGGTATAGTCTGCTATACAACAGTGTTTTTAAAAGTAAATTATAAAATTGAACATCTGCAAGTGAACATCTGAGAATGATAACATCAGCAAATTATGTGCTGCAACATTGTATGGAGTACATATTACTAATGATAAGATGTACAAAAAAAAACCAAACACAGAATGTTGTAAGTGTGAGTCGTCATAACTTGAATATGTCTTAAGTCAGGGACTAGCTGTATTTCTGGAAAAAAAAAAGAAAAAACAGCCACTGAAATCCTATCGAGCACATTTCTACTCTGACACGCATAGGGTCACCATGAGTCAGGGACGACTCAGCAGCAACTGGTTACTGGTACATTACTTTCAGTATGTAGAGAGTGTTACTGGTTTATTCCTGCCACTCCCTTGATTGTCTTGTACTAAATGTCTAAAATGTGACTTGATTTGCTGTAGTAGAAATATAGATTATTAGTGACAAGTTAAACATTTCAGATTCTTCCTGCAAATGCCATTTCCTTATAGCTTTACCTACGAAGCAATGACAGCATGGCTCCTGCTTTGCAGAGGTAAGCATGGGCAGCACAAAGACCTCTGAAAACAGTGATTTAAAAACAAAACTAAACAACAACAACAACAACAACTAACTCACTGCTGTCGAGTCGGATCCGACTCATAGGGACCCTTCCTTGGGTTTCCGAGGTGTATCTCCACGGAAGTAGATTGTCCAGTCTTCCTTCTGAGGAGTGACTGGTGGGTTTGAACTGCCAGCCTTCTGTTTAGCAGTCAAATGCCTTAGACACTGTGCCACCAGAGACATCTTGTTATAAATGGAATGACATGATGGTATACTCACATAGCAACAGCAGAAGACCAAGAAATATCAGGCCAATGGCAGCAGGCCCCAGCTCCACAGATGGCTGCGTTCTGTACGTGGGCCCAGGATTTTTGCTTGGGTCATAAGTTCCACAGATGTTCCTGTCATCACACTGACAGACTTCCAGGGTCAGGCTCTCTGGTGTGTCACACTGCATGTTCTGTCTGTCCGTAACAGTGAGGGCGATTCTGTACACTCCGGGAGATACTTCTTGCTGGGCTCTTAGCAGTGCTGAAGTAGCTGTAGATAAACAATCATACAAATCAATGGTTGGACAAGGCAGATTTTGCTCTTAAAAGTAGTTATTTTTGTTAACAGAGCTAGAGTTGCCCTAGAGATCACTGTCTCCAATAGCAGGGCTGATAATAGGATAAGGTTTGGGCAGTTATAATGGTTAGAAGGCGTTCAGTTGGCAAATCTGCTTGCATCTGCCTCCCTGCCCTCCTCTGTGCCTAGATGGGCCCATTATTCTCCCCCATGAAGACTCAGTTCTACCAAAGTGACCAAGAAGTTGGGAGATGAGCATAACTTGAATCTCCTCTCTTTGGAGTTTAACTACTTTCTTGTATGTCTGGCCAACCCTGGACTCTTGGGTGGCCCTCTGAGGGTGTGCCTTCCCCTCCCTCCATATTTTTTGTGCCTGCCTAAGACAGAGTTTCTGCTTTGGCTATGGATACCTCAGCTGTTCCTGTCCATTCTCATCTCACAAGCCCACTGTGCAGAACCCACTTGTGACCATGACCTCTAACCCTCTGATTCCTGAGCATCAATAACTCTCCATTTTCCATGGCTACATTGCTGTTTCTAAGTGGGATTCTGGCAGCAGCTCTTAGGAGCCTGGTGGTGTATTGCTGGAACAATTTTTAACTTCACCGTGCCCTTTGCCATAGTGCATTGCCTTCCCCGTCCCACCAGTGCTGCCTTGCCCAGCCTCACCCAAACAGGTATGCCTAGTGCCAGTCCTAATTCTTTCTGAGATTGCTGTAGCACCCTCTTCACTGATCATGCATCTGGAAAACCCAGGTGCAGTCAAATGCTACACGAATACTTTGGAGCTAGATTCTTACATCAAGATCTGTAAGCCCCAAGGGAAGAAGGCCCTGGAGACCAAGACTCTGGCAATTGCTGATGCCTATGAGTGAAGGGAGCTCTGGTAGCGTAGTGCCTAAGGTACTTGAATGCTAACCAGAAGGCTGGCAGTTCAAATCCACCAGCCACTCCTCGGAAAGAAGATGGGGCAATCTACTTCCGTAGTGATAACTGCCTCTGAAACCCAAGGAGGGGTCGCTATGAGTAGGGTCCGACTCGACGGCATATAACAACAACAACAAATGAGTGAAGGGCATCACAGAGCTTGTTCACAAGAGGAAGCAAGATTGATTCAGGAAAGAGCCACAGAAAAGTGTGTTAGTTTACGAAGGATTTGGCAACATGGCCTGATGGTTACTATAAAATCTAGAACATTTTTATTAAGTCTAATGTTTGCTCCTATGAGATTCCTGGAACACATAGGAAACGTAAAATTAATAATGATTAAGATTGGGAGTAAAAGGAAGGACAGATTAGCTCTTTCCCATTCGTGAATGGGTTTATGAATTTGAGTTCACCATGCTCAAGATTCTTGACTGATGGAACACTAAGTTCCACTTCCCATGTGTCTTGCTTCAGCCCAATTTGTCCAGTGCAGCATGCCTGCTCTCAGCTGGCCCAGTTTGGAAAAGTTCACATATTTAGAAATCTAAACAGTTCTGTCATAGAATAGATGCCTGACTTGTCTATATTTTGATATGCTATATAGGTAGAAATAAGGATGTTAAATATATAAAAATATTTAAAACATTGGGTCTCACATGAGAAGCAGAAAATTTTACATGGTGATAACACATATCATTCCTTTTCTCTTCTGTACTGAGAAGAAATTCATAAGGTGAAGACCACATGCTTATTATAGTGAATTTGTTCATTTACCCTTGGAAAGGACCTGCTTCCAGGTGAGCTCTCTTATCCTTCTGGAAGCGTAATGAAGCAGCAACTTTCATTTATAAGAGCAACTTTCCCATTACTCACCATTCAGTGTCGTGATACTCCACATGACTGGCAATTTTAAAGGTTGCTCCTCTAGTGAAAAAGTGTAGGGACCAGTGTATTTATCCTTGTTCAGTGCTCTAGCTGACACAGTAACTGAGGGTAATGAACTACAAATTACTTCCTTTTCGAGGACAATCATTGGACAATTTTCATTAAAATCAGGTACTTCAACATATACGGTGCCTGTAGCAGTCTTACCCGTGTTTTCTGTAAGAATAACATTTTAGGGTTAAAGAAACATACAGAAGAAGTTGTAAAATAATTAATTTTAAAAATTTCTCTTTTATGTAGCCAAGTTAGTGTGTCTTCTCATGAGAAATTATAATTGTTATTCTCAGAAGTGAATAACAAGTGAATAACAGTAGAAGCCTACTGCTACGTCTGGTACAAAGCAAATTTAAATTTCCCAAATTGGTTGATACCTTTACTTAGTCACAATGCTTGAAATCAAGATGCTGAATTCACTTATTATGAAAGAAACCAACACGAACATAATGGCTTCTTAAATGTGTTGTACTCAATGAACCTAGCATGGTGTGAAAACTTTTTGTTTCTAAAAGTTGAATATTTGGAATAAACTATTATTTATTCTTATTATCCAAGATACAAAAGTTTATTGAAGACAAAAATTAAAAAATACTATTAGCAAAAGAAAATAAACTAAGAGCTGTTAGTGATGAGATAATCAGTCATTTTTATTGTTCCCCTCCCGGCTTTTTGCTGTATTTCTAGGTAGTATTATTTTGGTTTTGTTTGTTTGTCATAATCATTTATTCATAAAGGAATGCCAATTGAAGTTACATTTCTCTGAAAATGATTAAAATACATTTCTTACCATCTATGGCCAGAATCTCAGCTGTGATTGTCTTGTTAACTACGAAAGTAGAGTCCGGATCTAGGTTTTTGATAAATTTGATTTCAGCAGTTTTTGAATCAATAGTTAGCAAACCACCATCATTACGTCCCATGACATATCTGTTTTATAGTAGAAAAAATTAATAGTTTTTCTTCAAATATGGAATATTACATATTTGGTGAAAAGGACTCATTTTAGATTTAATGTATTTAGATTCAATATATTACATTATGCTCTTCTGAAAAACTAAGAAATTAACATATTAGGATAGATGAGTTGTATAACCAGAACAGGTTCAAATGCACCAGCCACTCTGTGGAAGGAAGATAGGGCAAGCTACTTCTGTAAACAAAGATTTACCCCCTAGAAGCCCAGTGGGGATTGCTATGGATTGGTATCTACTCGATGACAGTAGGTTTTGTTTGGTTTTGGTAATTATGTCTTAGCCTGATTTTTCTCTTCCATGTGAAAAAATAAAATAGTAACTCTATCCTTGCCCCTCACAGCAGCTACTTTGCACAGTAATCTGAAGTTTTAGGCGCACATGTCTTTTATGTGCCACTCCATCTACTCGAACTATGTTCTTTTGGTGACTATCCGTGCATTTTAAAGACTCAATTAGAAGTGTCTGTGACATTTTTTCCTTATCTCTCAAAATAGGCTAAGGCATCTCTTATTTTCCACTTTAACTTATGTTAAGTGCTTATATCCTTGCTTATAGCACTATATGTTTTAATTATTTAAGTACATGTCTGTTCTTGAGTTAACCAGTTATTAAATTTGTCTTGGCCACCTTTGTTTCTCTTTGCATTCCTGGCTTAACATAGTTTATGTGCTACTTTGTAGTAGTTTACAGATTAAAATTACATCAAAGAATAATAATAACCCACTGCCATCAAGTCGATTCTGAATCATAACCACCCCCATTGGGTTTCCAAGGCTGTAAATCTTTACAGAAGTAGATTGCCTCATCTTTCTCCTGTGGAGCAGCTGGGGGCTTGGAACCACCCACCTTTCGGTTAACAGCCCTATGCCTTAACCACAACACCACCAGAGCTCCTTTCAAAGAATAGTAAGACGTAAAAATCATCTTACTTGACAAATGAGGCAGCCTTCCCAGTGTCTTCATCGATGGCTTGATATGTTCCCACGATGTAATTAACTAACTTTTTACTACTTATGCCTTTCTGCACAGTGAATGGTTTGGAAGCAGGACGGAATATGAGTCCTTCTCTCACATTTACTACCTGAATTGTTACTGGGGTTGCCTGGACTCGATATTGAGAAATTATTGATTGGTGAAATTCAGCTTTGTTTTTGACAGCAATACTCAATTGCACATTTTGCAGTTGTTCATAATCTAGAGCCTGGAGTAAAAATAAAATTAGAAGGGCAGAAGTGTCACTAAAACATAAACCAGCAAACCCAGAAGAAGGCAAAAGAACTCTATGCTAGAGGCTTTCAATGGATCCTTTTATTTCTATGTAATAAAACAGCTTCATAAACCATTACGTTGAAATTGAGAAAGCTTTAATATTCTTACCTCATGAGATCTTGGGTTGGGAACTGCTACTTACAAAATGGGGTAACTCTTTCTAGACTAACAAAATATCATTGTCTCTTTAAATTGTGAGATACAGTGGAAAAAACCCAAATTTGTAGTCAAAATTTGAGTCCTAGTTCTAATAGGTAATAGCTGTACCATTGAGGGTATAGTATTAAATTTCTCTGATCCTCAAGTTTTCAGTTTTGGGAAAAGAAGCAACAAAAAACTTGTTTCATCAAATTGTTATGAGGACCAAACAAATTAAGACCTCAAATACCCAACCTGTTGCTGTGGAGTTGATTCCAACTCATGGCAACCCATGTGTTACAGGGTAGACCTGCTCCTAGGGTTTTCTTGTCTGTAATCTTTGTAGAAGTAGATCGTCAGGCCTTTCTTCTGCAGCACTGCTACGTGGATTCAAATTGCCAACCCGTAATACATTCTTATAAATGGCAGTTATGATTCTTTCACAGAATAGTCATTGGATATGTGCACAATAATGTCTTTCCTGACTTTAAAGATTTTTAGGTAGTGAAGGCAAACTATCTTAGTAACCTTGGCTGGCAAATGTTGCTGTTGTTAGGTGCTGTAGATTCAGCTCTGACTCATAGTGGCTCTGTGTACAACAGAACGAAACACTGTGCCAGCCTCACAATATTTGCTGTACTTGAAACCATCGTTGCAGCCACTGTGTCAATCTACCTAATTGAGGGCCTTCCCTTTTTTATTGACCCTCCACTTTCCCAAGCATGTTCTCCTTCTCCAGGGAATGGCTCCTTCTGACAACATGACCAAAGTAGGTTAGACGAAGTCTGGCCATTCTCTCTTCCAAGGAGCATTCCAGCTGTACTTCGTGCAGGACAGATCGGTTCATTCTTCTGGCAGTTCATGGTGCCCTAAGTATTCTTTGCCAACACCACAACTCAAAAGCATCAACTCATCTTTGGTCTTCCTTATTCATTGTCCAGCTTTCACATGTGTATGAGGTGATTGAAAATACCATGGATTGGGTTAGGCTCACCTTAGTCTTCAAAGAGACAGCCTGATGCCACGCTCTTCTTCATATAATCAAGTTTCTTGGACTATTTGCTCAGCATACAGATTGAATAAGTATGGTGAAAGGATACAACCCTGATGCACTCCCTTCCTAATTTAAACTATGAAGTATCCCCTTGTTCTGTTCGAACAACAGCCTCCTGGTCTCTGTACAGGTTCCTTATGATCACAATGAATTGTTCTGGAATTCTCATATTTCTCCATGTTTTCCATAATTTGTTATGATCTGCACATCCACATACCTTTGCATAGTCAGTAAAACACAAGTAAACATCTTTCTGGTATTCTTTGCTTTCAACCAAGATCCATCTGACATCAGCAATGATATCTCTCATTCTACATCCTCTTCTGAATTCAGCTTGCCTTTCTGGAAGTTCTCTGTCAATATACTGCTGCAACCATTTTTGAATTATCTTCAGCAATATTTTACTTATGTGTGATATTAATTGGTTGGTAAATAGGCACCTGAAAAGCATTGATTAGGTGGTGCACCAATTCTTCATGGAACCAGTTTCAGAGTCTTGTATGATGACTATTTGTTTGACCTTTATATTGAGGTGACCCAAACCAAGGCATAACGAATCCCAGGATAGCTTTTTCCACTCAGTAGAAATTTTTTGAAGATAGGAGATTGGGAAATGCTTATTTTGGCTATGTTTGTGTATCACTAAAAATAATTCAGAAAAAGATCTAGATTTGAATTTTAACTTTGCACTGACTGGCTTTGTATGTTCAAATATATTCTAATGGAGTGGAAAAGAAAGATGTGTAAATAGGTAATTATAATACAAGAAGTAAAAGACAAAACAGATTGTAGTGTTTTTTTTTGTGAGAGTTAGTGAATGCTTCTACTCAGGAGAGTTAATAAAGCCTTCAGATAGATTTTCATCTGAGTTGAATGATGAAGGAAGATGAAGAGTTACCCAGGCAGAGGTGAAAATGCTTGCAAAAGCCCAGAGTGGCAGAAGAACATTTAACATCATAGGGAATATTCTAACTACAAATGGTGAATGGTTTTGTATACGGGTCTGAGGAGAATGAAGTTCATCTTAAAGGCTTGCAGATGATTATTAAACCTAGCTTTGTATTGAAGTCACTAAGGAGTCTTTAAGACCTTTCCCACCTCCCAATGCCTAGGTTTTGCTACAGAACAATAGAATCAATAGTTCTTACAGTCCAATGGTCTAGGAAAAGTTCCAGGTGATTCAAATGGACAATCAGGTTTGAGCACCAGTTTTGTAGCCATTAAAGAATGAGGGAGGGTTATAAAGAGAAGAATGACTGATCCCAATTGGTTTTAAGAAAAAACATGGTGGTGGACCAGTAACAGTGAGAGTAAACTAAAAGAGAGACCGGAGGTAGAGATACCAATCAGGAAGTCATCCAGGAGAGAGAAGCCAAGACTAGGATAGAGCATGGTCAGTAAGAAGGCAGAGGAGGACCAGACTTCAAGGACCATTTCTAGGAGAGAATTTGATAACTGGCTGTGTGTTGTGAGGAAATGCCATGATTTGAGGATAAAGCCTGTGTTTCTTGTTTGGGAAACTGGATGCCACCAATATATGAGATAAGGAATAAAGGCACAGGATGGAAGATAATGGGCACCGCTGGGAATTTATAAAGAGACCTTATAAATGAGGGTGGCTGTAACCTTGTCTCTGAAAAGTGGAATAATAAAGAACTGCCCTCATGACTCCCAGAAATCTAGGAATCCAGTAATCACTTGTTAAGGGAATGTACTAGATTGCCACTGGACTAGACTCAAAGGATTAAGGGAAGAAGCTGTCATACAGTCCAATGACAACAAAAGATGTCTCCAAATAATGGTCATTTCTTCTAGTTGATACCATATCCATTTATACATATCTTTAAGTAATCCCAGATGGAGAGTCTGTGTAGCCAAGCATGTTAAATGGAAGCGTTACTCAATTATTTTTTATCTTGCAGATTTAGTTCATATATTCCCACTTTCTAGGGGGAGATTGTATTTTTTTTCCTTCTGATGACTATGGATAATTCATCTAAAACAGATTGGCAGTTTCACAAGCCACAGTTCTTTGTATTTTATCTCTTCCTAAATTCAGTCCAATTGTAGAAAGTGAATGAGATCAAATAAAAAGAAAAAAATGTTTTACTTTCTTGTGCTTAAAGTATGCACATCTATAAACACAAGAATGTGAGGAAATAGCTACAAGATCTGTATACTTGTGCTTACTATAGAAAGTATGAACAACTGGAAGCAAGTAAACCAAGATTTTAAGAGTGGTTGTCTTTAAGTAATAGGGTTGTAGGGTGACTTTTAAAAAATTCTTTTTTATGTGTTTTCCAAGTTTCCTAAAATGAAGTGGTGTTATTACTTACAAACAAATAAAGGTTATTTGTAGAAATTATAGATTTGGTTACTGTAGAAGAATGAAACCAGTCCATACCTTAACCACTTTCAGGATGCCTTCATTAGTTCTAGGATCAGTGTGTATTTCAAACCAATTCCCTTCATTTCCAGAGACAAAGGAATATACTGCAAACCAATTATCTGTGAACTCTTCATCCCAATCTGTTACTTGAAATCGAAGTAATTCAGAACTTAATGTATTTTCTTCAATACGTGCTGTATACTAAAGAGGAGAGAAGCAGAATTCAAGACTCAATGTTGGATCTTATCTTAAGAAATTTGTTTCTGGCTCATAGCAACCCATCCTTGGGTTTCCTAGGTGGTATCTCTACAGAAGTAGATTGCTCAATCTTCCTTCCAAAGAATGGCTGGTGGGCTTGAACCGCCAGCCTTCTGGTTAGCAGTCAAATGTGTTAGGTACTATGTCATTAGAGCTCCCATTGTATTTATGGTAAATGGTATTTATCATCACTTCTCAAAATATGTATTATACACAAAATAACGAATATCACTGTGAGTACTATGCTCCTTTAAAAAATTATCTGTATGTGACAAAACTGTCAAAAATTACTTTAAAACAAAGATGAAAATGTAAGGGGCAGGGAAACTAGATTAATGGGAATCAAACAACTAGAATGAAAATATTGAGAATGTTCATGCATTAGGAAGAAATTGATGAATGGGAACCTAAACTGCTGTGTAAATCATCACCAAAAACACAATAAAACATGGTTTTATTTTTAAAAAAAGAATTTTAAAAAAGGTATGTATTATCTCCTTTCTGGTTACTGCATTCTTATACTTACAGAAAACTTATTTTTTAAGAAAAAATACAGAGAACTAAATAAAACCCAGTAATCAGGCAAAAACTGAATTAAAAAGGTAAAGTGTTTAATATGTATTGTTGATGTGGTTAGTTGCTGTCAAGTCAATTCTGATTCATGGCAATCCCAGGTGTGCAGAGTAGGACTGCATCCCATAGAGTTTTCAAGGCTGTGACCTTTCAGATGCAGTTTGGTAGGCTTTACTTCCAAGATACCTCTGGGTGGGTTTGCACCACGAATCTTTTGGTAGTAGTCCAGTGCCTAACCATTTGCACCACAGGGGAATTCCAAATAATATATACACTCATAAGAATTATTCTTTAAGGTATGAATGCTGTACCTGAGATTCTTTAAGCACTGGGAAATTATCATTGACATCTTTCACTTTAATACTACATTCACATTGAGTTGAGAGTCCTTCTCCATCTTGGTCCGCACCACTCACAACCAGATGATAACTACTAACTTGCTAAATTAGGAAAAAAATAAAGAAAAATAATTAGTCTCCAGTGCAAAGGATACAAATGGCAACTACCTGCTTTCTACTAGTGATGAGGTGACAATATTCAGTCCCATGATTCATTCTCTGGAAGGATCATGTACACTGCTTGTTGTTCGCCATCAAAAGATCAGAGGAGGCTTGTGAAATTGGGTGGAAGTCTTCAATGGGTCAGAATAGGTTTTCTTTTTTGTAAGCTTTCTTATCACAAGGTAGTATATTTAGAGCAAAAATGGGTGAGGGGTATGACAGGATGCTTATCTAATGGAAACTCACTTATACAGCTTCCCTGGTAGTCTCTTCTGAAAATCTTTTGTACAAAAACACTATGGAGTCTGACAGGGTAATGTGTGATTATGGAGATGGTGGTGGTGATGGTGGTGGTAGTAGGACAATGGAGAAGAGAGAGGAAAGGGACTCATTACTGCCCTAGAAGCAGGGCTAAAATTGAAAGAAGTCAAAGAGAAAATGTGTGATAACCAGGAAGAATTGAGATTGATTCCCATATAGAAATATCCCCCTTCATCTAAGAAATTTCCTTTTCCTTGATCATATGAGCAGTAAGTTAAAGTTCAGTCTTTGTCCATGTATTACAAGGCCTTTTGCTTTCTTCCCATTGTAACTCCCATTGGCATTCTGATACTTGTTTGTTGTTTTGGGTACAGTGATTCTTCAGGTCCCAGATATATCCATCATCCTACTAGAATCTTCCTTTAATACAAATAGTTTCTCTAGATTGACCTAGTTGAGTCTTGGGATCTGTTTTCCTTTCTCTTTTTATTCACAGGTAAAACTGAGTGATATCTCTTTGCTTTGTTATTGAATGCTCTCTAGTGCCTTATTTTACCTCTCGATCAAGAGAATTGGTCAAGGTACGGACTTCCCCAGTGTTTCTGCTTAGGAGGAACATGGGTTGGCTTGCCGGTTCCTGAGAGACGATTTTGAAGGCAATTTTAGAGTTCATATGATTTGGTTCATCTGCATCTGTGGCATTTAATATCATCACCAGTGAGTCTAGGAATACAGAAATAGTTCATTAAAGAATATGTAAAGATTGAAACTATGGTCACATTAAATATTCAACACAATTTCAAATTGGTACTTTTTTTTTTAAAAAGATCTTAAAGATATCTGCATGCTGGAAAACAATACAAAACAAAAACCTCAAATAAAACAAGACTATCAAAAAAAAAAAAAAAAACCCATTAAGTATACCTTGCCATAACTCTTACTTCTGTGCTCAGCCAGGTAGAATTTTGCTGCTTTCCATAAAAATCTTCCAGTTCTCCCTAAAATCTGGCTGTGTTGAGGTTGAAACTAGCTCCTTCTATTATTATTACTTCCTTCTGACAAATTATCAAAGGTAGTGTGCATCTGCCTCTGTTTCTTATAATCTGAAAAGGCCACTTTAAGTATCCAGGCTACCTAGACCTGCCTCATGGTCTTTGTGTTGGCTCATTCATGTTAATTATATACAAACAATAAGATACTATTGACTTGATAATAGGACCAAAACCTAGGAATACAATGGCAGCGGATACTTAGCTCAACTACAAAGATTTAAGTTCCCAGGCTAATTTAAAGATTTTTTTTTTCCTGCAAAACTACTGATGAAATCTAGGTGATAAATTATAAAAATGATGTACTAGATTGATACTTGTATTTGAAAAAAATTAGAAATGGTAGATACCATAGAAAACTTACTTGAAGCACTATTTTCTTCAATTTCACCCATGAAAATGCTTTGGGCAAATACTGGAGGATTATCATTGACATCTAAAATTTTTACTGTTAAGATAAGTGGTTTCTCTACATCTTGACCGAAGGAATTTAGAGCTCGACATGTGATCTAGAAAAAGAGAGAAAATGTTATTTATTATCCTATAAGTTTAGTATGCCTAATATTAAAACTTGAAAATTAGGGTCTCTCCTGACATATGCAAACAAGAAAAATGTTTCCCCAAAGAAAGGGTAGATGGAATAGGAAAGGGTGGGTGCCCATTTGCATAGAACAACTAGGCAAGTTGCCCTTTCCTCCAGGCTGATGGTGTCTCATGTCAGGATGAAGCTCATGGGAACCTTGGTGCTGGATTCAGCGTTCACTCTCGCACCCTCCCAGTGTATTCTTTTAGGTGCCCAACCACCAGTGGAGGCTCTTTGTAAAGGGACTAAAGTCATTATTTGTAGGTGGAGTGATTCATGTGACGTTAAAAGATCTCCTCTCAAAATTACCCAGCAGAGAAGCATCACTTTCTAAAGCGATGGTCCACAAGGAGAAAGGTGGCTCAATGTCGAAGACACAAACTTACCAGGAAGCTTGGGGTTTCCTCACGATCAACTATGGCTGTTATGTTAATTTTTCCAGTGTGTTTGTCAACAACAAAGATTCCCAGTGGGGGCTGGTCAATTCCTACCCCAGAAATGTGGTAGGTAATTTTCTGGGTTTTCTGGAAATCTGAAGTAATCTGCACCCAAAAACACCCAAAATGTTGTGATGAGTATCACTCAGGCTATCTCTTTCCCTTCTTCTCCACCCCCATGCTCTCGAATCATCTGTTTGTTTTGACTGAATGAAAACACTGGTGACTTTTATTTCTTTGCCTAGGAATATTTGTTTTTCGTTGTTAGCTGCCGTAGAGTCGGCTTCAACTCATAGCAACCCTATTACAACAGAATGGAACACTACCTGATCCTGTAAGAATATGAAATAAAGTACAAGTGTTGCTTTTACTGAACAGTATGGACCAATGGGCATGCGTATTATTTGAGCTGTAGAATGCTTCTCAGATTTGCTCGTATTACTGTGGTGATGTTAAAAGGCGAAGAGGAAGGCAAGGGCACTAACTGTCGACAGGGACGCTTCTGAAGGCTCACTTGCTTAACTGAAAACATTTTTTAAAAAAAATATATTTATTTTAGTTTAACTACAGGGAAATGGAGGGTAAAAGGGAATGGAATTGTATATGAGATGTTCAAAATTTTAAGTTTTTTAATGTGGAAAATTTTGAACATAAGTAGAAGTAGTGAGAATAAGATAATGAACCTGATATATCCTACCACCCAACATGAATATTTATCAATACATAGCCAATCCCATTTTATCTTTACTCCTATTTCTCTAATTGTCATATGAAGAAATTATTTCAACTGTTTCCTAGAATCTGTATCCAAATAATGCTTATATGTCTAAATCAGTGGATAAATCAGTTCTTTTTAATAATTCTAGAAGCTGTAGTTCCTCCATCTTTCTCTCTCCCTTATGTTATTATTATTATACTTTTTTTTGTTGTTGAAGATACCAGGTCATTTGTTCTGTAGAGTCCTCAATCTACACTTTGCTAAATGGGATCATCATATTACTTTAATTTACATCTAATACACTTATTCTCAAAATGCACACTGCTGCTGCTGTTTTGACTTACTTCGGCAATTGGGTTTCTTTTTGAGTTGTCTTCTCTTTCTCTGCAGGGTTTTGCAAATTTCACCCATTCACGTTTATATCTTCTTTTGACTTGTTGTACTGCTGTCTCATCTTCTCCAAATTCTCCTTTTGTCTTATGTAGAAAAGGATTCAACTTTATTATGCACATTGTTGGCCATATTTGCTTTGAATATTGATTATAGACACCTAGTTAAGGACTTTCTATATTTAAAGATGATCTAAAACTGGTAACTGACACCTTGGCAACCAAGGAGAAAACACTAAATACTTAAAAAATTTTTACAAAGTTATAAGATTCTTAATATTAGCATTCAATTATATTTTATATTTTCTTTATATACTCCACAATATCTCATTTACCTGCTTAATGAAAACATGTTGATTGATTTAAGGTAAGAAGCAAGACTGCAGGAGACAAATTACAATAAGAAAAATTACACATTATTGGTATTTAAATCAGGCTGGGTTAGTTGTTAGAATATTAATTTTATGTATTTCCATTGTTAAATTATCAAATAATTAAAATACTAAGTAAATATATATATTTTTCTATATACAATTATCATTTTTTTTACCTAAGCGACTTTTAATTGCAAAGATCTTGCTCATACTTTACCTGTATTCGCAACTCTCCATGCACCAGTACGACCACCTGTAGATATTTAAAGAAAATCAAATTAAATATGAATTCGTACCATAAGTATTTCCTTGAAGTTTATAATCCTGATTATTATATTCTGTTGTTCATATTTTAAAATACTGTTTATATTCTACTGTTTCTATTTCAAAAGAAGTAAGTTAGCAGAATCAATAGTCAAAAGACAAAGTCCTATCAGGAAAGAAAAAGTGCTTTCAATATAAATGGGCCCTTCCAGTTTTTTAATCTGTCTACAAAATTTTAATGATATAAAGAAGAACCTACTGAACTTCGCAAAGCTATCCCCAACAGCGGTTTGCAACAACCAGATATTTCTTGTTTTTCTATTCTGTAAAAAATTCCCAGGAACTATGGAAGCCACTGCTTTAGAAAACAGTGGTGAGCATCACTGTGACACCTATCTAAGCTTCAGAAAGTGCCAAATGGGGTCCTAAAAAACCATCACCACTCAACTGGCTTATTTAAAGGCCAGCAAAAGAATGCCTGTGAATCACAATATCTGAAGATTATGTTGACAGTCCTGTATTGTTCTTGTTCTTGTTAGGTGCCATTGAGTCATCTCTGACTCATAGTGACCCCATGCACAACAGAATGAAACACTGCCTGATCCCGCACCAGCTCCATGATCCCCGCTATACTTGAGCCCATCATTGCTGCCACTGTGTCAATCCGTCTCGTTGAAGGCCTTCCCCTCTTTCGTTGACCCTCCGCCCTACCAAGCATGACATCTTTCTCCAAGGAATGGTTCCTTCTGACAACATGCCCAAAGTAGGTGAGACAAAGTCTGGCCATTCTTGCTTCCAGGAGCATTTCGGGTGCACTTCTTCCAGGACAGATCTGTTAGTTCTTTTAGCGGTCCATGGTACTTTCAGCATTCTTCGCCAGCACCACAACTTAAAAGCATCAACTCTTCTTGGGTCTTCCTTATTCAT